AAACGGCGACCCTGCCTCACAGAGAGACCCCCAGAGCGCTAACGTCCGCCCAAACTAGTCACAGATCTGGGGCAGACACCCAAGCTTCTCGATACTGGAGGAATTTGTGATGTTTTGCAATCTCTCAAAAAGTGAAGTTTTTGTTTTCCTGCGAAAGAAGTTCTGAGAAGCTTGTCCTCTCCTCTTTTTTTCTTGTTTTCTTTTTTTATACTCATTGAAGGGTAGCATTTGTTATTATAATACTAAATGATTATTATTACCTTCATTTACATATTATTAATATTTTGTTATGTATGGCATATGTGAAAACAAATAATGCCAACTTGTATGTTGTGCATTTTAAACATATATAATAAGGGTTGTGGAGGAATTTGCCTTCAGATTCATACATGCTGATGATGCATCTCTACTCTTAGTATAGGATTTTTTCTAGAAATGACATATTTTAGTCTTTTCCTTGGTATTACAAGGGGGGGCAGGAACTTCTTCACTGGAGACCATACACCAAAACATTTTGAGGGTAACATGCTGAGCTAACAAATAAAGAAAAAAGTGTAGACATCTTAATATTTTCAAGGTTATAGTACCTCCAGTATGGTGAGGTTGGGAGTCTGCTGGCAAATTATTTGATGAATTTTGATAGTGAGCAAGTGAAGTTTGACAGTGAGTAAGAATGAATCTTTAGATAGGTGTTGGCGTAAGAAAATTTGTGAGGTTGAATCAAGTATAAAAATACTCTTTCAGTAGAGTTTTGTTGCTTACATTAGAAATTGTCTATAATTGGTTAGCTACACAAGACTTTTGTTCAGTCCTTTTTTTTAAGATCAATAAGATTCTTATCTGAAAAGATTTAGATGAAAGAAAAAGAAAAATAGTTTTAGTATGATTCTTCAAGCATTCCAAAGGCATGAGAAAATTTAATTGATGAATAAAATGAATTGATTGTGAGACAGCAGTGAGGAAGACAGCATAAAGACTCTAGCAATATTGTTATGGACATCATAAGGAGGTTCGAACATGCAAATTGCAAGTTCTGCAATAGTATATATATATTTATTTCTCAAAATCTTTATATTTGTTGAAGTTTTTGTTGATGATATATGGTGTAGCCCATGGAATTTTAGATGCTTCTCTTGTAAAGCAATGTATATGTATATCTAGTCGAGAGATTGCTGTATATCAATTTAAATAGCTCTGGCTGTTTTTTTGTTTTTATTATTATTATTATTATTATTATTATTATTATTATTATTATTATTATTATATTTGATGTTTTAGCTTAAATTTCAAGGGCAACAATAGAAAATTTATTTTCAGGTAATCCTCAACTAACATACATTGTTAGTTATGACAATTAAGTTTAGTGGATGTAAGGAAACTTTGTGATGTCTATCAGCAATGTATGCTTGAGCACATTATCATAAAGAAATGATAATTATTCCAAGGAGAAGAAAGGTGTATTCAAACTATTTTGAGGCAAAAAGAAGAGAAAAAAAGATTTTTCAACCAATCTTTGGCGCTATGTATTGTACAAAAGTATTGGCATGTTTACTTACAGATATGTAACTACTGAATATGACATGTTGCTTACTAACAGTCTGATGCAGGTTGATGTTGTATGCTAATCTAGTACTGACCTGCACTTACAATGGGTTACACCTCATCATGGGGAAAAAAAAGAAGTAAATTGGTGTAACAGAGTGCAGTGCTTGCTCAACTTCTCATTCCATAAGAGCTGTATGTAATGGTTTTGATCTTTTTTTTATTATTATTAATTATTGTTGCAATATATATATATTTTTTCCAAGTGGGCACAGGTGATGTAATATCAAGTTTTGTTAGATGTACAAAGGTCATGATCCAGTGTCCTGTATGGGAGTGGTATTTATTACAGCTTGAGTCTATTTATTCCAGTAATTTTAGTATTTTTTCTTAATAGTATTAGAGTTTATGATCCATTTAATTATTACATCCTTGGTACCTTGTGGCTCAGCCTCATCTCATTTTTGTTTACCTGTGAAAAATCTTGTCATGAGAAAGTGACTTTCCTTAGAATATGGAATTTTTCACAATCTATTATGTACATACAGGCAAGCAGGGCAAACTGACAAAGAAATAGGCAACAACACAGACATTTAGACTGAGGTAAACACACACATGGGTGTAGGGAAATATTTTTAGATATGAACAGAGATTTATACACCCTCAGATCAACCACTCACAAAGGCAGTTAGTGCCAGGCAGAGCAAAACCAAACCACACCATACAACCCAACAAAAAGTTTGTCAAACCAGAATCTAGACTAGCTTCATGATTAGACAGTTTTTTGTTGAATTGTAGGGCATTTTGATTTGGTTCTACTTTCTCTGGTGACAAACATACAGGCAACAGGTTTGTGTCATTGTCACGGAGGGTATATAAGTAATATATTAAATGGTTTATGGCATTCTTCCTTCTTACACAGAAATAATTTTGTAGACAGACAGACACACAATACTTCAACTGAATTACCAGTGTATGTAAACCTGCCAAAAAATATTCTTAGATTGGAGTTTGCATGTTTTTTCTGTATGTATGTATATATGTATTTAGGAAGTTTCACATCTATAATTTCTGAAAGGAAAGGTATTAGTAAAAAATATAATAAACATCATTTTTGAGTCTTGACATGCTTTACACCTCTATTCAGGTGAAGCAGAGTAGACAAGTCTCATGGTCAATAGCAGTTCCACAGGGTTGCACCAGGGACCACTCCATGAGTTTTGGGTGAAGAGTGCTGAATTTTCTGTTTCGTTACTTTATAATACAGTTGCTCACCTCTTTACCACAAGCCTTGAGCATACATGGCAATGACTGTGGTGCAGCTCTAGGAATTTGTAGGAAGTAAAAGACAAGTGATGTCATAGGATGAGGTCTGATAGACACTGTTGTATGTGTTTTTGACATATCACTTTAATTATTAAGTGACAACTAACCCAAGTTCCTTGTTTAGTGTTTTCCTAATCTGTTCCATAATATATATTTTTTTCATGGCTTTCTTATTAATTTTTGAGTGTTTGTACACACAATTAATTTGTCCAAAAGGTTTTTAATCTATAATCTTTCATCATTTGCTACTCATTCTTCATGTGAATGCATTTTTCTCAGACAATGAAAACATTTCTGGATACTAATATTGCTTTATACTACTACAGACTTTCTCTCCCTGTACTTGTGTTCTTTTTAACAATACTGAAATGAGGCTTTCTTAATAATGACAAGACAATAGAGTAAGATTATGGGCATGACATGTACTTTTAATGGTAGTTTGATTTAGCTTTAACACTGGAGACATTCTATAGGGCCTGGAACTGAAAAGGACATGTGTTATAGGCTTGGAGAAGAAAGAGCAAGGAAAAGGCTATTGAGAAAAAAAATCTCCAAGGAGTTTGTTATGTGGGGTTTATGTTGATCAGTCCATTTGAGAATTAAAATAAGAGGGTTTAAAAAATGTAACCTAAAATTTGGTAATTCCTATTAGTTGAGTTAATTTTACATTCATATGTTGTATGGATAACTAATCTAGCATCTTGATGGTGTATTTAACAATCTCCAGTCTGATGAGGCTGCAGATACTGTTTCATGACTAGTAATGTTACCAAATTATATGAAACAAAATTGTCAGATATTTCTTTAAATATGTAAATCTACCATATCATAATGTTTTGGCATTTCTCTGGAAGTAAGAAAGCCCTTTAGCATTCAGAATTCATATTGCTGTCCAGTGTTGCATTCATGTTCTTAACTTTTGTTCCTTTTATACAGTATTTATTTAGCATTAATCAATTACACATGAAGTAACTAACATAGGCAATAGCTTTTTTTGTAAGTTCAGACCACTAATTGAACCATTAAAGAACTGACTTGCTAACAGGAAATCCTCAAGCCTAATTTAGTTTTCACAGAGCTATACTAACATAGCTTTGTGATAATTAATGCATAACTTTCATTTGAGAACGCAAAAAAGGACCAGATGCTGAAAAAAAAATACTCTCAGATATATGAATACTTGGTATGATGTCATGAGAACCACTCTATTGTATACCTGTCACGGATCAACAAACATGTTACTTTTGATATTGTGATGTTCCGTCAGCCATGTGTAATTAACAATCTGTATTGTGTAAAGGCAGGGTGTACCAATATTTTTTAAGTGTAAAATTCATTTGAGCAGCTATTTTTACTTGATGATCTCATACTAACACTAGCATGCTGGTTACTAGCCTAAGCTGTTAATGTTTTTTCTCCCTCTCTTGGATAATACTTCATGGATTAACTCTTAGGGGTATTTGGTCCAAAAATTTGGGGATGGTGTCCTTGCTTCATACATTTGGCATTTATTTATTCAAAATTGAGAAGATAAGCAGTATCCAAAGCAAACTTGGACACCTCCAAATTTTCCCAAAGCCCAAAGACAGTACTGAAGTATTTGTGATTTTTGAAAGTAGCTGCTCAAGTGAGCATATTAACAGAGAGTAACTAGGAGAGTATATCAGTAATTGCCTCACTTGCACAATGTCACCAAGAATACCATTTGCCTTTTTTGTGGTAATTTTGAGTATTTTCCACCGAATGTAGGCTAAGAAATAATGTGTTTGAATATTCAGTTGTGAAGGGAAAGTAAATAATATTTGTTAAATGGTGTAGGGCATTTAACAAGTTGGGTTTCTGAACATGATTTATTTTTTTCCATTTTTATTTCATACTTGAGGGTTCAATTTTTAAATATGATTTATTAATTTTTATTGTTTTGATGTGAGTTACAATTGCTTGATTTCTCTGGGAATGACTTTTCTTGCATTTCACTTACATAAAGCACCCTACCCTCAGGCTTTCCACAGTCTGACTTCATAAGTCACTCGGCCATTTCAGGCTTGTGCCCAGAACTGAACTTGGTAATGAAATGTATTTTCTCTGGTGTCGCACTCATGGCCCAAGTGCTGCCATTATATGTCAGTGCC